AGAGAGAGAGAGAGAGAGAGAGAGAGAGAGAGAGAGAGAGAGAGAGAGAGAGAGAGAGAGAGAGAGAGAGAGAGAGATAAAACGTTTGCAAAGGGAAGAGAGAGAGGGGGGGGGGAAAGCAATGCAGGTGGTCTGCTGCTACGGGCTCTTTCTCTCACATCGCAAATGGGTACCCACAGAGTGACAACTCCCTCAAAAGGGCGACCAGAATCCTCACGCCAGAGGGAAAGGATGGTCGTGGCAGTGGGGGAATTGGGTCGGCGCAGTGGGGGACGAGGATCGGGGATGAGGATGAGGGGGGGTGAGGAGGGTGAGCGGTGGGGGAGGAGGTTGGGCGCAGTCGGGGAGGAGGGTGGACGCAGTCGGGGAGGAGGGTGGACGCAGTCGGGAAGGAAGGTGAGCGCACGGGATGCGGTGGGCGCAGACCCGGGGGAGGAGGAGGAGGGTTGGCGCAGACCCGGGGGAGGAGGAGGGTTGGCGCAGTTGGGGAGGAGGGGTGGCGCAGGGGGAAAGGAGGATGGCCGCTGTCGGGGAGAAGGGGTGCCGCAGGGCGGAAGGAGGATGGCCGCTGTCAAGGAGTTCGGCCCGGGGGGGAAAGAGGGTCGGCCTTCGGGGGAAGAAGGTCGGCCCAGTCGTGGGGGAGGGCTGTTGGAGGGGGGGGAGGAGGTGTCGTCGCAGTGGTGTGTGTGTGTCCTCTCAACAAATTGTTTATTTTTTTGGTTCTGAAATCGGTAATTGTTTCTCTACTGCCACACGCACACAGAGGTCTGGGGGCTAAAACATTTGTAAGGGGAGGGGGGAAGGAGGGACGTTGGATCGATGCCATGTTCCTGGAATGAGCGTGCGCACAAAGAGATAGAGATATAGATAGATACCGGCGTTGCTAGCTCTCTGCTCTTGCAGATGATGCGGCTAGCGTCGGGCCTGTACTAGCAGGCGCATGCTCGCCCTTATGGCAGATTTTATTTTTTCATATTCCTTCTTTTTCTGTTTCTTTTTCTTTTTCTTTTTCTTATTTCTCTTTTATTTTTGCTTGCCATCTCTTTCCGATGTGGAACGGCATCTGTATATTGCGGCCTCTGTTGTGGTTCCGTTTATTTTAACTCTTGATTACATTTAGAGGTTGTGTTCGT